TGGCTCAAGCCACACGGACTCTGAAGAGCAGTGTCTGGAAAAGTGTGAGTGCCCGCTGTGTCTAGGTACTGTGACTGTGCTGAGTGCGTGTCCTTGGAGGCCTCGGGGGTTACTAAAGGCCCTCGGAAACTAACGATCAGGGCACTTGGGTGGTGGCCAGGCCACGCCCGCCACGGCCAGCCCGGAGCCCAGCACGGTGACTCCGCTGTCGTCGCCGATCCTGGCCAACGCCGCGTTGGTCAGAACCCCGTAACGCGCCCGGACACGTCGTCGATGGTCAGCAGGTGGGCCAACCCTCATGTGGACCTCTGCGCCGCAAACTGGGCCAGCACCGTGGTGCCGTTGTTCTCCACCACCCTGGTGCTCACAAGGCCGGCTGCGATGCAGGTGGTCCACCGTGCTGATGGGCCTCAGCAGGGAAGTCTGCGCGTTCTGGGTGAAGAGGGCGTCTACGCGCGTGGTTGTTCTGAACTTCACCGCAGTGCTGGCCGTGAGGCTGGCGCAGGAGATGTCTGCGGGCACCCCGCCGGAGTTCTCCAGGGCCGTCACCCTGGCATCCACGGCCAAGATGGCGCCAGCGGTGGCGTAGCGCCCGTCCGCTTCTGTCTTCGACCAGGCGTCGCAGGTGAGCTCCGTGACCGTTGCCCAGGGGCGCCCTGGGCAGAATGCCCCTCAGCTGCCCTGCATGATGACGGTGAAGACCTCGCTGAAGCCCCCGTTGGCGTTGGTGACCAGGCGCCCGTCCAGGGCGGTCGTGAAGCCGGTGCTGCTCAGGCAGCGCCCGTCCGCCTCCGCCTTGGAATAGGCGTCGCAGCGGAGCTCGGTGATGGTGCCGGAGAACAGGTAGCTCCAGGCCAGCGGGGCCCTGGGCAGGATGCCCCTGATTTGCCTCGGGCTGGAAACGCTGTCGCAGTCGATCTCCAGCGTGTCGGTGTTGTTCTGGAAAGGGGCCCGCGAAGTGGACCTTCAGCAGCTCCCGGGTGGGAGGGTTGGCGTGCCAGGCTGGGGCATTTCCCACAATCACCGGTATTAGGGCGGCCGTGATGGCGCGTCGGTCTGGGCGCTGGTGTTATACGGGCTGAGGTCGATGGCGGCCACGGCGGCCGCGATCGCGGCCTGGTGCTGTAAGCGCGACCGCGCCGCGTCGCGCTGGGCCGCCGTCTCGAAGGGCGCTAGGGCGGTCGCGATGGCCGCGACGGCCGCGTCGGCCTTGGCCACGCTGTAGCTGTCGCAGGCTGACGCTCAGGAGAAAGATTCCGCAGCGTGTTGGTGCCCAGCGGAAGTGGCGCTGGAGACGGGGTACCGCAGGTACTGCAGGGCTCCCAGCTGCATCTGGCCCTCCAGGTTGAAGGGGTGCGCGGCCGGCCCTGTTTACTCCAGGAGTCCGTGGTCTGCCGGAAGGTCACGAAGGCGCCCATGAGCTTCGTGCAGGCCCTTGTGTGCATCGTCGGGTATAGGAGAAGACGAGGCTGCGGCCCGAGAGCAGTACCTTGTTGAAGGACTCCACCAGGGCGCTGTCCAGCGTCACCTGGGAGGCCAGCAGCCTGACGCTCTCGATGCTGAAGTCGGAGGTGCCGCCGGCGGGGCGGAGGGCGTCCCCGGCCTCCGCGAACTCTATCTCCAAGACCAGGTTCAGCTGCGGAGGCAACATCTTCCCGCTCTGGAAGAGCCCGATGAGGGTGGGGGCCATGAGGACAGTCCCTGTACTCGCCGGCGGGGATCTCCACGGCGTTGCCCCCAAGGTCTTGCCAGAAGCCCTCCGAGGCCTCGCTGGTTGTACCATTCCTGGGACTTGTGCAGGAAGCAGCTCCTCCCGTATTCGGAAATGTCGTCGGTGCGCTGCCCGTTGGAAGAGGCCCAGTGTGGCGTCGTTGTTCCTGATCCTGAAGGCGATCTTGACGCTCTCAGGGTCGATGAAGTCCATGCCGCTGGTCAGCGTGCTGGTGGTCGGCGTGAAGGTGCTCAACACGAGGATGGGAAATACTGTACATCGCGCCGCGACTGCACATAATTGACGTTGGACGTCGCGAGCTTGTAGTCCAAGCTCTGCATGAGCTCATCGTTCACGGGGTCTGGGTGACGTTCTCCATCCTGCCTGGCTTTCCCCTATAGCGGTCAGGCAAGTTCGAGGTCAC